GCGGGACGCGGGTGGGCTGAGGTATGTGCGCTTCGTCGTGCCGCAGGCCCCGACGAGGCCGGTCACCTTCTTGAACGTCACCGTCCCGTCGTGGTTCAACCTGCTGTCGAATACCGTCGACGGGCCGCAGGCGGGGGGCGAGATTGTGCGCGCGGCGGGGAATGTCGACGCTATCATGGAGATCCAGCGGAGGGTGTACGGCGTCGCGCCGGATAGGGTGCTGGTCATGGGCATTTCGCAGGGCGCCGCGCTGGCGGCGACCGTGTACATGCGGCACCGCGTCGGCGCGGCGGTGATGTTGTCCGGCTTCCTGCCCATTGCGGAAACGTACCCCGACGCACTGGGGGCGGGGTCGGCGAAGGCGCCCTTGCTCATGTTTCACGGGGATAGGGATGAGACGGTAAGGTTCGAGATCGGGCAGCTCAGCGCCAGGATCATGAGGCGGCTGGGCAGGAGCGTGCGGTTCAGAAGGCTCAGGGGGGAAGGGCATCAGTATACGGACGCCACCAATGCCAGGGTGGCGAAGGAGACCGCGCAGTTTATCGCGAAGAGGCTCGCCATTTGAGCCGGGGCAGGGCCAGGAGAAGGTTGGAGAGGTTGGAGAGGTTGGTGGCCGGAAGAAGAAGATCGCAAGATGTCTGGTCTGCCCTTGACATGCACCTGCCCTTGACATGCACACACCATTGTGGCCAGCTGGAAGTTGAGTGAAACGTGTCAAACTGGAACGTGTACACTTGTACACGTACACAGCGCATAGATTCAGCTGCTGTGGACCCTCATCCGTCAGTCTAACGTGTATCACCCTCCTCACATTCATTCATTCATACAACCGGTTGCGCATGCATACTTTTGCAACGCTTATCCTTCCAGTACGCCTTTTGATTTCATGTGCATTTCAGAGAGGCCCCCCCATGGACTAGCACTCACACTCGCACGCGAAGCCCAGTCCCAATTCCGTGCGATCTTTATAAAGCGTTGTTGCGGAATCCTCGGTCTCTCTCTGCCAAACATCTCTTGCCCATCCGGACAGCCCTTCCATGCTCCTCTCCCGCGTAATCCTCATGGGGTGGTCTTTACTCGTCGTCGCCGTCGCATCTCCCAAATACTGTTTTTGACTGACTGTGATACGGACAGTCTGTCCTTGCGGTCTGTCAAGGCCGCCATTTTTTGCAAAAAAAAATATATATATATATATATATATATATATAAATGGCCGGAAAAGACGTGCAAATCTCACCAAACTCCACCCTTCCGCAACGCAGAAGTCATTTGCGGTGGAGAGAATATCTTTTTCCTTCATGTTGAGCAAGCACAAGTCGAGAAAAAATAAGTTGAAAAATGACCTCATATGAGGTCGCTTGTGGTTTAATCACTAGGAGCTGCAGAAACTCGTTCCGCTATAAGAATTCACAGAGAGCATGGAAACGGTTGCCTTTTGGACGCATTGATGAAATGATAAACATCTAACGGGAAACACCCTTTGGCGACAGCTATTAGACGTTACTGTACCTATGAGACCCGAAGATGCGTTCCACCCGTACTTCTACTAGCATAGACCATGGAATACCAGCTGTATACGGTACGAGGCATAAGAAGTGTCTAAGTGCCCCTTAGTTGCACGTAGAAAGGGACTGATTTTTGTACTCCAACCCTTTCACCAATTTCTGCGACTGGTGTCTCGACAAAAGTCGTTGAGGCCCTCACTTCGCCAGGTCGACAAGCCAATGTAAATCGAAAACGACGGAAAAGCTCTGCCATTATGAGTGCTCCTTCATGGTCTGCAAGAAAGTTGCCGGGACAAGTATGTGGACCAAGTCCAAAAGGAATGAACAAGCCCGTCGTAGGTCTTCCACGTTCCGCAGAATTCACAGAGTGCCACCTCTCTGGTCTAAAACTTGCAGAATCGTTCCACTGCTGCGGACATAAATGACATCTTCTGTAGTCTGCAAACACCTCTGTGCCTTTTCGCAGTTGAAGCCCACTTCCCTTCAAAGTTATGTTCCTTGTTGTTTGTCGAGTCATAAACGGACCAACAGGATGAATGCGACAAGTTTCCTTCCATACATTGCGAACATAATCTAGCTTCTTGAAACTTTCAAACGATATCGGTTCTTGAAGAGAACTGGTCCCCATCTCCCGATCGAGTTCTTTCTCAATTTTGTTTCTGATGTTTTCATTGCAGCATACTTCGTACACACCCCATATTATCAACTGACTCATGGAGTACGTGCCACCAAGAGTAAACTCTGTCACTATTGAAGTAAGCGTTTCAAGAGAGGTATTTTCAGTCGCGAGAAGAGCATCAAGCAAGTCCCTGCTACGCAAGTTCTTCTCAAGTTGTGGACCTTTCATGCGCATCTCCAAGAAACCAGCACACGTCTCTCGAATACTATCGCAGACCTTGAAAAGTCTCCTTCGACTTCCTAGTGGTTCTAAAATTTCACGAATGGGATAGCTCACGATATCCCTGGTCATTTCATCTGCTAATTCACGAACTTTTTCCAGAAACTCGAGCCGCTTTTCGCGGCTCAGGGCGACACCAAATGCCACTTGGGTCACGACACGGAACGTCGCAATGGATATTACTTCAGAGAGATCTACGGTTTCCGACGAACAAGTAACCCCGTTTTGACAAACAGAGTACAAAGAATCACAAAGTTCCCGAGTTGCGTCTGTCATTTGGCCATGAAAAGAATCAATCATACCATGATGAAAACCGTCTCTTATCTTCTTTCTCAAGTATCGATGTTTGGATCCCGTCATGCAAAGGATCCCGTCAGGCGCCATGACCTGGAAAACAGACTTGACGGCAGGCGGTCTGTCAAAATCCTCAGCAGCAGACAATATATGTTTCACATCTTCGGGTATGGCTGTGACACAAACACGGGTCGGACCAATCCACATCGTAAATACATCCCCATAGACGTCCCCAAGCTTTTCAATAACACGACTGAAGCTGTCTGGGTTGAGAAGCATAGGATACAAAAGGCCATTCGGAAAGTAGTGCAAAATTCCAGGCCCCGGCAAAGACGAAAGGGAAGACGAAAAAAAGAAGAACGTCCTCTGTAGGGAGAAACAGAGAGTAAAACAAAAAATCAAGCAGCACGAAAGGAGAAGAAGCGCCCGAAACGCGGAATCTATTTCCATGCTGAGAAATGTGAGGACCCGCCTTGTGAATGTTTCCGTGAAGCAAGGTCGCAAAGTTGCACAGCAGAATGAATTTCGAACGGGAAATAGACGTACTTCACATCAACGAGATGGGAGGGGGTGATTTTTATAGAAAACCGAGATGGATGTACAAACGCATAAACTTTCCCTGTTGTTTCTTCGGGTTTGTTGAAAGTCAATCAGGTCCCACCATCTATACAGACCTTTCAACAGTGTCTCAAGTACTCAACCAAACCGTATTTACACCCTGTGATGGGCTGAATATGAAACACTGCCGAGGGGAGCGTGAGAAAGGCCCATATCTCCGATTCTCTATTTAGTGGGGTATGTGCACTCGCGATGGGGGCGAAACCAACGTGTTCGGCGAGGTTATGCTTCTCTCCGAAAAAGAAAATAATGAGTGTACAGCAATGGAGTACTTTATGAGATGAGAAAGATATCTCTTTGTCAACAACAAAGTATATTACAGTGCGAGTTATTCTATTAACGGGTGGGAAACTTCGATTTTTACCACATGGAGATATATTGGTATTGATTCCTGGACATACACCCTTCGAAGGGCACCGAACGCACTTCATTTGTTGGTCGAATTTTCCTATTGCGTTCTGAGATCAGAAGAGTGCCAATATGTCAATCACGGGGCATTGTTGTTCTTCAGATCTTATCCTCCCTGCCAACGAAAGATAAGAACTGAAGAACAACAATGCCCGTAGTACCGATACATGGTCGCTTGACCGCCCATGCAACAGTCCAACAGTATGAAATGTGGGCACTTCAATGAAAAGGGTTATTGATGATTCGTGGTTCACCACTCAGATGCAAGAAGTGGAAGTTGCGGCCAGAAAGATACATTTCTGCTGTAGTATCCGAAGAGATTTCCTGTGAATGATGTCATTCTTCTCCCCCATAGGCGTTTCGTTTCTTCGTTACACAAAGCCATTGTCCCACGTATACACTACTACTGGAACTCTCCATTCAAAAAGAGCTCGGAATTTCCGAGAAGGCCAGGGAAGCAGGGTGTTTGACTATCAACATATATTTGGGAGACTTTCCAAATTATCGACCTCTAGAATGTGATGGGGACAGATATTTCATAGCCGAAAAGCATTTAATTATAGAGGTCAATGATAATTGGAGAAAAGCATTTACTATAGTGACGTGGGCACACTACCTACCCCTTGGGGTCATGACGGAAGAAAGCCTTTCGGGATGTATAGTCTTTGCACAGTGTGTCAAATGGGATGGTGTCTATGCACCTATGTCACGTTGCCGACTTCTTTTTGGGAGCAATACAATAGACGAACACTTCTAGGCATAGAAAGAACTACGGTACTTCCTTGGGCATACAGTACACGTATTTGCTTCGCAATCTTGTCTAGTACAGCAATATTCATCTATTTTTACCGGACATTTGAATTGAGTCCATGTCCACAAGGGTTCAGTTCATGGAAGTGGACGAAAAAGTTCTCAATCAATGGGAAACAGGGGCGTTCATCTTAGACTACGGCATTCTGATATTTTATGAAAATATATATCATACGTACGTCATGCTGAGGCTATGCGCTGCTGCTTTATTTGTTGGACACATGCCGTCTCCAGCTATTACATCAACCTGACTTGTTCTGGGAGATCGTCCGTGTTTGTTAAATATCCGGTCTTGAGCCGTCCGTGAAACACTCTCGCTGTTCCCCCAGTTCTTTCTCGCGGCACCGTCTGCAGACCTGTACTCTGCCGTCAGCTCGTGTATGGCTTAGATGCAAGGATGCACTTCTCTTTTAGGGCCTCCACATTTCCTAAGACGTGAAATTCCTGATACCCTGATGCCTCTGGCTAAGTGACAAACGGCCCCATATCTGTTGTAGCATCAATATTGGGAGAAGAGAATGATCTCTTCAGTGTGTGTAACAATGAATCGTTAAGATTCTGCAGAGGGTTAGTGCGCGTACGGGCGGTTTGAGGGCGTTACGACGCCGGGGGTTGAGGGCAGGCTCCTGTCGGGCGAGGGTCTTCTCGCGTAAGTTGGTTGAGTTTATTCTGTGAGTCGTTCGTCTGTGTGTTCTCTCCTCTTCGGTGCTGGAGGAGGTTGTGATACTAAAAAGCTGAAGCGAAAGGCAGAGACAGTTTCTCTGTTCGGGATCTGCCGGAGACCCTGTACTGTTGATCGGGATCCTGGGAGAAGCGATCAGGATCAGGCTGACTCTCCGAGGGGTGTTACTGTAATCTTCTTGTCGCCGACTGACATGATCGGCGGCGTCCGAGATCCCTGTTTCATCAATATCAAGATGCTTTTCAACATACTTTTAAACTTCTAATTGCTCGAGAAGGAGAGGAAACGTACGCAGAACTGAATTCTATGTTACGGCTGGATAGGTCCCAATGAAAAATGCTTGTCCGCTCCCTTTAATTTTGGAAAAGCCTGCCGAAGAAGCACTATTATTTTCGCCAGTCTTTTCGTGTTTCATTCTATGCTCAGACATTTTAGATTTCCCTCTTGATCTTGTGATGGGTGCCGCCTCGCTTCTTGCGAGGAAGTCCCCCTCTTCACTTTTTGTTTTTATTGTTCCTCTCCGTATTCATCATCGGAGTCAACTCTAGTAGTGGTATTGTTGAAGTTGTGTGTTTTTATTTCTTAGAGTTGCTGCACGAGACCTATTTTATACTACGTTGCATCTGCAGATACCATCTCATTGCGTTCCAGATCATGTGAGGTAGTCGGCCTCAATTCTGCTGAACTGAGGAAATCAACACTGTAACTTATTGGATAGGGCCATTGACTACGGGCCCGATTATACCGAATCCACTCTATCTTCTCTGTCAATACAGTACAGTGAAAACGTGTTACTTCTTCCCTTCGTAGAACCAGGGAGAAAGAGTTGAGGTGTACAGGTGTATCCTCAACAGGTACATCTTAAAACAGTCCTACCACTTCCTAACGTATCTGAGGGAATATTGAAGAGAAGAACATGGCGGACATTCGTGCAGGCCATACTGTACCGTTATAGAATGCTCTGACATCGCTTGCGGTTTCTGGTTGGAGCTTTTGGGGTCTATTGCCGACGCTTTGAATGCGCCAGAGAAGAGGGAAGGGTTTGGAACAGAGGATTCAGCACAGGTGCTGGGCTTCGCTGCCGCTATCTTTCCTCTCTTTCTACCTACGCTAAAAATGTGCCCGGCCATTTCTCTTTGCTTTCTATCAGCCCACCGCTCCGTAATTCGACTGAGCCGATATGCGGTCTAGCCTCTTTTCGTATACTCTTTTGCCCCCCGCAGACTCTGCCGCCTTTCCTCCGCATGCGCCCTTGTGAAATTGCCTTTTCAACTATTCGCCATGGTCACGCTTGGCCCGACTATGCCTTCCTCGCCTTCGGACATCCGCTTTCCCTCGCTTTCGCATATACACGGAGATTATCGCTGGCATCTCCAGGGTCAAATCGGCATTGTCAAAAGACCCTAATATGATAGCTGTTGAAGTTGCCATGCATTTGTTGCTGTATTTTTCCCGATGAATTGTGTCGGGAGGGATATCCAGGCCAAACCCCAAGACATACCTCAGGACATACCCTGAGACATCACCCAAATCTGTAGTTTAATAATTGGTCTGCATGTGTACCACGTGTACAAGGTAGAAATCTCCCCACAAAAGGCATTTATTCCGTCAAGTGGAGGCCGTATTTTCTTGTGTATAAGAGGGAGGACATCACCACAAGAAAATAATCGGGGGGGGGGGACCAGAACGTAGAACATAATAAATTTCTCTTCTTTGTTCTTTTTCCCTCTCCCTACGCGCGCAGCTCTCAAACACTGCCAACAAATTGCACAGAGGTAGAGTAGCCTCTAGAACTGCTTTCAACAATTCGAAAAGTCCCCTAAAAAGTAACTCAAATTTCTCAACCTTTCATACTCCAACTTCGGACTACTAAAGCTATGGAATCCTTCGAGCAACACGCTAGTGGTAATTTTGGCAAACAGCGATGTCATCTTCCATTGCATTCAGTAGTTCGAACATGAAGTGTTCAAAAATGACCCGCCCTGGAGGGTCGGCTTGTCCAACTTGGCTGTGATCTTCTTCGAGCTCGGACACGTCTTTTCCAGATCTCCAGCACCATCGCTCGTTACAATCTGGCGGCCGCCCCCTCAGCACCGCGAGGTCGTGGACATAAGCGCCCCCTCCAGGCGCCGCAGCGGCGGCAGCGACATCCAAGTGGGCAGGTGCTTTTACGGCCTCCGTTCGGCTTCCTCCAGGCCCTGTTCTTTCCCGATACATGCCGTGGAGGCGTGCTGTAGGCGCCTTACCACGCATAGTATGCGTAGTAAGCCGCCTACAGCATACAGCTATTAGCTGGCGCTATGAGTCGACGTTCACCATCATTATTTCGTCCGTCCCCAACAGGACTGCTTCGCCCGGCAATACAGCTGCGATCTTCCCAAAGCGCGTTTCGAAACCCAACTGCGGCCTTCGCCCCCCGTACCTCGTGTAAGCCCTTCCGTTCCACCCCTGAATGCGGCTACCTTGCGCGTCAGTCCACCGTTGCTGTCTCACCGCCCTCTTCGAGCCGCACGCTGCAAATGTATGGGGGGCACTAAGCGCCACCACCATGGCATGGGCAGGAGCAAGCACCGCTGCACGACGGAAGAACTGGAGCGCCTCCTTTCATGCGTTCTAGCTCAAGCCGTTCAAAGATCCACCTGTATCGATCTACCCTAACCGTTCAAACGACCCAGACAACGCCCTGTAATACCCCCTACCCTGGTCGAACACCAGCATTTATCCCACGCTGATATTAGCCTTTCTTTAAACCCCCGCCAACACCTGTCCCTCCAGTGCAACCTCTTCTCGCAGCGCTCCCCCTTTCCTCAGCACCCGCCGCCCTGATCCTTCCGACGGCAAATATTAATATCTCCGGTTGTCAATCCGCGTCCCATTCAACTCCTTCGCTCCCCTCTTATCCCAAATGAAACCCAAATATCGGCACACGGAATTAGGCAATGGTAAAGTAAGTTCACCACGCTTTGGCGCGATCGAATGTAGTACAATGCGCCTGTCAGGCAGAGACCACGGTCCGATGGTCCAGCAAAAACAACAATAGCAACAAAAAGAAGAACTGCCGACGACACAGCGCTACGTAGTGTCCGACTCTCCCTTCTCCGTTTAAACGAGCTTGCGACTCGTAGTAGCTCAGATCTCTGATGGGAGGGGGGCACAGAGAAACAACCCGGCCCGGGATCGATGTGGTAGAGACTTGCGAAGAAAACTGCTTGACGAGTGTGGGGTGCGGCGTGTACTTAGGTACCCCGGTTCCACTGGGTTGTAAGACCAATGCTCGTGGAGCTTCTTCGACACCTTGTAACGCGACAAGGTCTTCGACGGGGGCGTGGCAACGCAGCCCGACGGGATGAAATGAAAGTAGCAACGCTACACCAACTGTGCCGCCCGATGGCTCGAAACATCTTCACCGGTTCGGTTGCAACTGAGTTCGATGGCACCAACACTGGCTTCTACACACGACAAAGCCCTTGGAGGGAGACGTCGTTGCAACAGTCTCCGTCGGAAAATAGGTCACAGTAGCAGCGCTACGTCAACTTTGTCGCCCGATGGCCAACACACCTACACCAATTCGATCGCAACCTATACCGATGGTACCAACACAAGATAAAGGAAAATAGGTGGAAATAGAGATAGGAAAGGATAGGGAAATAAGAGAAAAGGAAAGGGAACCCCCGAACGCAAAGGATAAAGTAATCTGTGGTAAAAGAGAGTGTCTTGGGAAAGACGGACTTCGACCAAGGCGATATCAGACTCTGGCAACTCGGGTTACCTTTACTGACTTGGTGGTCAGTGGGCTAAGGTATATGTCGCCCCGCCGGGGCCACTACAGTAGCCCGCGGCGCTAGATCCTATATCTAATCTAATGTCAGCAAAATTAATGCCAACTAATTAACTAAATAAAATAAAACAATTAAAAATTAAAACTGTGCAATTATTCACACTTGTGTCCCTGTAGTGCAATACCCGTCTCGGGTAGGGGGGGAGGAAGGAAGTGAAAAAGGAAAAAAACTGGATACTGTAGTCCGGGGTTGGGGGACACGCGTGTGCGACGATGCGCACGATTATTTTAATTATTTAATTTTATTTTATTTACTAATTAGATCTAGAATCTAGAGCCGGGAGCTACTGTACTCGCCCCGGCGGGGCTCTATATAACTTAGCCCTTTGACCGAACAAGTCAATAAACCAACCCGAGTTGCCGGAGTTGAATGTCGCCTTGGTCGAAGTCCGTCTCTACCAAGACGCTCCCTTTTACCTAAGCCTACGGCATCCTCTATCGCTCGGGGGTCCCCTTTTTTCCTTATCAATTTTCCTTTATTTCCCTATCCTAATTTCCCTTAATCTTGAGTTGGTCCCACCTTGTAGGATTGCGATCCGCAACGTGACGTCATTCGCCATCGGGCTTTTGTGTTGGTGCACCAGTGGTGCTTTTCTCAGTGTTGGTTCCATCGGAATCTGGTTGCGACCGATCCGTTGTGGGTATTTTGCCATCGGGCAGTACGACGGTGTAGCGCTGCTACGTTTTCTTCTTTCCCGACGGGCTACGTTGCGACGTCCCCGTCGAAGACCTTATCAAGGGTATAAGGTGTACAAGGCGCTCTTTGAGCATTGGATTTACGACCCATCGGACCAGGTTTATCTAAACACCCCTCCGAACTCGTCGAGCAGTTGCCTTTACAAGTCTCTACCACCATTTACCGATCCCGGGCGGGGCCCTTCTCTTTGCCCCCCCCCCCCTCATATCAGGGATCCGAGCTACTGCGGGCCGCAAACCCGCTTAAAGAGGACAGGGAGCTTCGAACACTCCATAGCGGTGTGCCGTTGGCAGTTGTTGTTTTTGGTTGCTGTTGTTTGTGTTGGACCGCCGGACCTTGGTCTCTGCCTAACAGGCGCATTGCACTACAAAAGTGGTCTCCCGACCTAGAATTTTTGTTTACTGTTCAGGAGACCCGACCTAGAATTTTTGTCGACGACAGTCTCGGTCTGGAGACACTCTACAAAAGTGGTCTGGGTAACGGACTCTTTTTTATTTTCTTTTGTCTGTAACTTTTTTGCTGCGTAGGTCCGCTCGTACGAGCGATGTCAACAAGCGCACCCGGGGACGTCGGTCCCGGGGCGAGCAGAGCCGGATCGGCACGAGCGTCGAGGACCCCGAGGGGTCCTCGCACCCGGAGCCAGGCCAATACGGCCACGGACCCCGGAGATCAAGAATCCCCTACGGGGATAGCCGCCGACAAGACTGACCTCGACGAGAAATTGGAGAAGATGAGCAGCGAAATTCGCGAAGAAGCGAAGAAAAATCTCGAGGCTGAATTAGCCCTCGTCCAGAAGCAACTGGAGTTGCAAGGATCCGAGTTCCACACCGTTTTGGGAGAGCTGTCGGCTCGAGTGGATCTCGTCGAGAAGGAGCGAGGTGAGGCGACCGACGGTCTGGAGCCGGAGGTCCTAGCCTCGTTGAAAATTTCGGTCAAGGACGCGAGGCGCGACGCGAATCAAGCCTTGGAGTCCTTAGGAAAATTCAGAGCAAGCATCGACGACCGATTCGATCGCGCCGCGCAACGTCTCAAGGACCTTGAGCAGGCCGCGGATCAAGCTCCGCAAGGATCGGACGACGAGCCGCTCCCTTCGGGTAGAGAGGGCGACCGTCGGTCGAAGAAGGACAAGCCCGCTCGGCAGCGGAGTTCTAAGTCGAAGCCCTCGAAGAAGGACAAGCGACGTGCAAGCAAGGGTCACTGTAGTGACGATCCGGAGAACCGCGACTCACAGTCGGAGTGGCTGGGTCCTTCCGAAGATGGTAACGGCGGTTCGTCGAACCATTCAGGCGATTCCGAACGCCGTTCAGAGGACGGAAACGGAATTTCGTCAAGCAAGAAAATTTCCTCCAGACGAGGCGGAGTCACTTCGTCCGCCTCGCGGAGAGACAAGGACGCGGAGCCCGAAGATGTCACAACGCGGCGCGGGCCGCGATGGGAGGAGTTGGAGGAGCTGAATCCGACCAACTACCTCTTCAAGAAGTTACTTTCGTACCGGACGTACCGCTTGCGGAACCCGCAGACATATTTGTCAAGTTCCCGGCGGACCGCCGCGCGAAAAATTAGGAGAGATATTCCGCCTAAGGTGAAGAAGGACAACACGTTCACAGGAGAGGACGGGGTCCTTGTGTTGGATTTTTTGGCAAAGTTAGTTCAAGA